GATTCTTCAAGAACAGTGTCGACTATCCGAATCAACGCATTCCGCACGGTTTGTTCATATTTCATTCGATTCGATTGTGTGATTTCCAATAGATCTCAGTGGTAATCGCATCAATCCATTTCATATTTTCAAGCTTCGAAACTGTTCATCCCTAAATTTCATGTTCAATTCTTTCACCATTAATTTCAAATATTCCAAGTGATGTTCCTTCATTCGTATATTACACATGTGAATCCGTACGAGTATGAAATATGGTCTGATTCAAGTTGTTAATGAAGCACGGAATTCCAAAATATTTCAGCTTTTAATCCAGAATTCCGTAATGAGATTATTGAATAGAACATTTGTTGAGAGATCTACTGAGTTAATCTATAATAGTTTCCATTCGAATTGGATGTATTATTTCATTTCAGTCTTATTGAATATATACCTCAGGTGTCAATTACTTTACTGATCTGTTTTAGTTGTGTCACATTTCTTCGCTCGAACAACCAAACTGCTCTTGAATGCTGCCGATCCATTGTATGCGCCGATCATGTCGTTCCTCGTACTGAAACCAACCGTCGACATCGAAAACGTTCCCGAATTCTACAAATTATTCTTGAGTTCAACGGTTCAGTATCACCACAAAGAACGCCAGTGGATTCTGACGTTGATTGCGGATTCGTTGATTGAACCGTACGACTACAATGTTCTGCAGAAACGTTACGTGATCAAGTTGTGTCTCTCGCTATTCACCAGTAATATGTCAACAATGGAAACTCGTAAACTCGTCTTGATCATTCTGCGATCTGCACTCAAGCATCAATCAGTTGCAAAGGATCTCTTCTACAGAAGCAATTTACAATCGTGGATCACTGTCACGGCGCAGGTTTGTTGCTCATCGCACTTTTCTCATACATTATCTGGATTAAGTTGACGATCGAACGAGTTGTTGTATATATTTAAAGAGTCGATGATCTTATTCCTGGGTTTTATTCTGTTTCGATTTGTGGCCATAATAAGTGACGATCACTTAGGAGTTAGCCGATTTCGTTTTGAATTGATCGTAATGTTTTGCAATATGATTCGTTTAATTTCAGCAGTCGACACTATCAAGATGGGAGAAGGTATTCTTGTGTCAGCTCTTCATCACTTTGTATGAGCACATTAAAACGTTCATGATGAATGAAACTAATCAAAACGATATCAAATCCAAAAATCAAATCGCTCTGCAGCAAAAAATTTGTCAAATGCTCAGCCGAAAGGTTTGTCTCAAAACTTTGATGAGAGTAATAGTTAAATGCACCAATCTAATGTATCCTTTATGAGGCTTATACGAATATCACAGTGTATTATTAAATGATCAACATGTACTCATTGTAACGTTTGCGTTATCAATACCGATATCGTCATTGTTATTGTTGTTATTATGATGAATATATTACCGTTGTCATTACTTATTATCATAGTTCATTGTCATAATGTTACTTTCAGATGAAACAAATGCTCGATGAAGTGGATGATAGTGGAAGAGCGGTTTGGTCGAAGAAACTGGACGATTTGATTAGTAGCGATTGGTCGGAGAAGGAAGTTGTTGAAAATGACAATGCATAATTTAAAATTTTTATAATTTATAGCTAAAAATTCATCATAACCTCAGAATACACATTTAGAGTAATTGTGATATCGCATTGTTCAAACATATGTCTTCGTTCACCAAGTCCTTTCGCTGCCCTTATGAATTCAAAGTAATTTTAAATGTGGTGAACGAATATGTAGGACAATTTGGATATTTGTTGAGAATGTGATAAAAGGAATTCAATTTATGTTGTAGTTTAATTGAGCGTTCAGTGAGGTTTTTACGGTATCGTAAATGAAACCGATTATGAAAAATTGAGATGAATTCATTGCGGACATGACATTTCATTACAAAAATTTCATCCTAGAATGGGCGAATGTTTTGGTGTTCCAAGCGATTATTGTTAATTAGCGTTAATTATGTTCATTGTTTTTTGTTGCTTGTTTTGATTTATTGTGATTATGCTACCTAACCAGTGGCGTATATATCCAAGGAAGAAAGAGGGGCGCAAAAAAAATCCTGCCCATATGACTGTAACTAACTGTTGTTATTGGTTTCGTTTTGACTTTGCTCATTGTTGTTATTGAATATAAAAAATCTAAACTCTTATCCGTGCTTTATAAGGTTTACTGAATGTACAGAATCAAACTTTCATAAGTTACAAGTATCGCTCGTCGGAGCAGTCAATCTTTTGGAGAAATCTCACTCGTTTTGGTAGACTAAACTATGGAGTCCAATGAATTTTGGAATCAAATTGACGGAAACAAAAAGTAAATCTGAGCAAACTCCAGCTAGACCAACTCAAGTCTACTCAAACCCATTTATTCTGAAGTCACATGGAAACGAACCTAGTTCTCACAAATTGAATCAAAGTGAAGTTGTCTAATGAAATCCCGTCATCTGAAGTTACATCACCCATACGAGTTAAGGTGAACTTGAAGCAGAATCAACTAGAATGTATTGAATTTAATCATAATCATTGCACAGTCAAATACTTTAGTCAAATCACCATAATACTGACACTATCTTTCGAAACCGGAATGAAATATAACGTAAGGAAACCGTTTACGCTGCTTAAACTCTGAGTATTGAACACAGATATTCGGCTTCTGAGTATAAGGATCTTTAATTGTTGAAGTGTCAATTGTTGAAATGTCTTCAATTGTTGAAGTGTCAGGACTACTAGAAGAGTTGAAATTCTCTACTCGCTATAGGCAATGTTGGGTCGAAACAATAGGTAAAATCGTACCTATTGTTTCGACCTCTGCCCTCTGGCCATACGACTACCAATGATGTCTTCATCAAATCGAAATGAAACACTAAGTCAAGAAACCATTTGGCTGGTTAAACTCTGAGTAGTTACACATATGTTCGTTTAGTTATTGAGTATACGCATCTTCAATTGTTGAGGTGTCAATTATCAAAACTAGAAGAGCTTAAATTCTGTACTTGCTATAGGTGATGTTGGGTGGAAGCAATAGGTAAAATCGTTGCGCTGTTCGAAGCATTTGTGACTGTGATTGACTTGAACGTAATCTGTCAATACTCAGAATCAGAGGCTGTATCCACTAATAAAACATGACATTTATGAAAGCCTATTGTAATATATTAATGATCGACAGAGTTGATATATCTTCAGAAATCCTTCTATATCTCCTCATCTAAACAAGATCCCGCGACAATATACATTACTCTGAAAGCTCTGAATTTTCTATATCCGGCGGTACCAAAAAACTGATATGTTAGTGGGCAAAACTGAGGACACAGGCGGTTTGAAAATGGTACCCGTGATATTCCTATAGTAATATGTCAATGACCGTTACAGTTAAT